GAGCACCTGAAGAGTGCCCCAATCGCGATGTGGATGGACCCAGGGGGGGGCTAACATGGGGACCCTCCTCCGTTGATCGATAGCCTCCTAGATGGCCTCAAGAGACCCTCTAGGGCTCCCAAAAGGGCCCCAAGAGAGCCCCACAGGTTCCACAAGAGAGCCTCAATACGGCCCCAAGAAGGCCCAAAAAGGGTCCGAGAGCGCCCCAAGAGCGTTCCACGAGTGCCTCAAGAGGCGGGTTGCCTCCTCCTCCTCCTCCTCCTCCTCCTCCTCTCCTGTCCTTCCTCGTCCTCTAGTCTCACTCGTCTCGCCCCCTCTCCTGTACACACCCCTCACCCCCTTCCCCCTCACCCCTCCTCCCCTCCTCCCACTCCCCCTCCCCTTCCTCCTTCTCCTCCTCCTCGTCCTCGTCCGCCTCCTCCGCCTCCTCCTCCGCCTCCTCCTCCGCCTCCTCCTCCTCATCCGACTCGTTCCTCTTCTCCTCCCGCTCCTCGTCGTATTAGTCCTAGCAGGTGTCCTAATATTGCCAGTCGTACTCCCAGTATCTTGACTCGTTGCAGTATTACCAATCGTACTCGTCGTCTGGTGTATGATTCGTCCCCTTCGCCATCATACTCAGTATCGCCTGCGTCGCCGTAGTATTCGTACTATGGATAGGAAGGATTCGTATGATTGCTCTGCTTAGCATTAATAATCGCATTCGTCTCCCCATTATGAATATGCGTATTCTTATGTGTCGGAATCGTATTCGTAATGTCCGTAGTGCTAGTACTGTTTGTATCCATAGTACTAATACTAGTGTTCGTAGTATGTTGTTGCTGCTTAGTAGTCTTAGTGCTAATAATATGATTTCTCATACGCTTGTAAATATGGCCAGTACTGATATTCTATCAGCACAGGTATTGTTAGTAGTATGCGTCGTCTTCTTATCCTTCATACGATTGCTAGTCGATTATTATGGTTGCTACTCGTTGTCCTCCTACTCCTCCTCCGCCTCCGCCTCCGTCTCAGCCTCCGCCTCTGCCTCCTCCTCCTCCTCGTTCTCCTCCACCTCCTTCTCCGCCCTCCTCCTGCTCCTCCTCCTCTTCCTCCTCCTCCTCCGCTTTCCCCTCCCCGTCACCCTCCCCCCTCCCCCTCCCCCTCATCCTCCTCCTCGTCTCCTCCTTCTCCTCCTCCTCCTCCTCCGCTTCCTCCTCCGCCTCCTCCTCCTCCGACTCCTCCTCCGCTTCCCTCCTCCCGCCTCCTCCTCCACCGCCTCCTCCTCCTCCGCATCTGCCTCCGCCTCCGCCTCCGCCTTCTCATCCTCCTCCTCCTCCTCCTCCTCCGCCTCCTCCTCCTCCCTCCATGTCCTCCTCCTCCTCCTCCTTCTCCTACGCGTCATAATTGTTTGCAACGTGCACGCCCAAAAATCTCGACCACTTTCCGAGCAACGGCTCTTCATCCTGAGTCGCGTGTTGGTATCCGGCGATGGCCCCCAGAGACCGTGATAACAAGCAGAAACCCATCGCGATGTGTCGCTTGACTAACTAGGGAAAGTGCCCAGGGCGGTGCTGGTCGATGTAGGGACCATAACATAAAGGGAGAAAAAACATGAAATAATGCCTGGGGCCTGGTCGGGGCAACACGGCTCATCGGAGAGAACAACTCCAATCGAACATCCCATTATCTGGTCGCATCTAATCCACCGAAATGGCGGAGCGCGATCATTCACACCCGCCCAGCGCAGTCGTAAACTGTTACTCATCATAATCCCATCGCGTCCGAGCAACCTCATCTTGCCCAGAAAACCGTAACTTGCACCTCGTGTTCGATGGTGACTGATCATATGTTGGCGTTCACGGAGTCCCGATCAGAAGGCCGTGAACATGTATGAACTCACCCATGCATCTTGATAATGGCGTTGATGAGCATGCGGGGTGCGTGCAGAAACCTGTCAGAATGGTATGGCGCCTACTGGAAACCCAAAAGCACGTATCAAAAACGTACAAACAAAATGGCTGCTCGATGTTATCTCGTTCTCTCGCGAGCGCGCTCATGTGGACCGTGCGGTTACCTAAATCAAGCCATGCCATCTGCCATGTCGTCTTCTACACTGGATCGCGCCCAGACCAGCCGGATCGGGCGGAGCAACGAGTGGTACCGCAGCAACAATAGGACGGACATGGGGCACGTAAAATATGTGAAAACAATAAGAGAGTGGCCAAGGCGGAGAGTGCCCGAGTCGGGCAGGAAAGATCGTACGGAATAGGAGGTCGAGTACAATCTGAAGATTACTGACCCTTCGTAGTGCCGTCTCTTAGCGATTTGTTGATCATCTGCTCAGCTCAGGGTCCTCTGCCGCCAAAAGGTGTTACTTGTTGAGAGTAGCTGGCGCTCCCCATGAGGGGCAACGATGGGGAGGGCCTGGCTCAAGAGGGGAAATGTCCACCTGCACTCGGCGAGACACCGCCGACAGGCCGGCGTTAAGCCTCCGATGGCGTTTCCGCACGTGCCTCAGCGGGGTGGGCTGTCAGGCCCCTCATCGGAGACGAATGAGCGGCTGGGGAGGAGGAGGAGGAGGAGGAGGAGGAGGAGGAGGAGGAGGGGTGTGAGGGGTGAGGAGGGGAGGAGGAGGGGGAGAAGGTGGAGCTGGAGGGAGGAGGAGGGAGGAGGAGGAGGCGGAGGAGGTGGAGGAGGAGGGGGAGGAGGAGGAGGGAGGGGGAGGAGGAGGAGGAGAAGGAGGATGGGTCGATGCATCCCCCCCCCCCCCAGAGCCCATCCCCGATCCGTCGTCGTCTGGCTTTCGGGCCATGGCCCGGCTCTCCGGCGGCGGCGCGGCATCCCCAGAACGCCCTCGGCGAGGCGCCACCGCTGTGCCGACGGGAACCGGCGAAAACCGTGACGCCCGCCCCTGGCCCCAGCCCCCTCCTGGATGGAGGTCGCCCCGACGGAGGCCGCCTCCATCATCGTGCCCACCACGCCAGGCGCCCGCACCGTGGTCTCCGACTCCGCGCCCGGGCCCTCCCCTCTCCGGGCGGGGCCCCTTGCTCTCCCTCCCCCCTCCTCCTCCTCCCTTTGCTCTCCCTCCCCCCCTCCACCTCCTCTCCTCCCCTCTCCTCCCCTAGCCTCCTCACTCTCCTCTCGTTTCATCCTCCTCCTTTTCATCCTCCTCCCTCCTCCTCCTCCTCCTCCTCCTCCTCCTCCTCCTCCTCCTCCTCCTCTCTCCCCCCCTATCCTCCTCCGCCTCCCCTCCTCCTCCTCCTGCCTCCTCCTCCTCCTCCTCCTCTGCTCCTCCTGCTCTCCCCTTCCTCCTCCTCCTCCCCCCTCTCCTCCTTCTCCTTCTCCTCCTCCCTCCACCTCCTCCTCCCTGTTTCCTTCTTTATCATCCTCCTTCCTCCCGCCCTCCTCCCCCTCACCCTCCTCCTCATCTCCTCCTCCTCTCCTCCTCATCCTCCGCCCCCTCCTCCGCCCCTCTCCTCCTCCTCCTCCGTGTCCTCCTCCCTATCGGAGGGCGAATGAGCGGCTGAGAGGGAGGAGGGTAGGGGGAGAGGAGGCGGATGAGGAGGGGGGGGGGAGGAGGCGGAGAGGAGGAGGAGGGAGGAGGAGGAGGAGAAGAAAAAAGGAGCAGCGAGGAAGGAAGAGGATAACGATGGGGACGAGGCAGGATGAGGAGGAGGAGGAGGAGGAGGGAGAGGAGAAAAGAGGACGGGGGAAGAGGAGGAGGAGGCGAGGAGAGGAGGAGGAGGAGGAGGAGGAGGAGGAGGAGGAAGAGGAGGAGGAGGAGGAGGAGGAGGGGGAGGAGGAGGGGAGGACGGGGAGGAAAAGGAGGAGGAGGAGGAGGAGGGGAGGAGAAGGATGATGAGGAGGAGGAGGATGGGGGGGAGAAGGAGGAGGAGGAAGAGGATCTGGCTGGATCTGGCAGGCCTGATCACCGCCATTGCGAGGCACGCACCGCGGCGACGAAAGAGAGGCCGCCCCTCACAAGTCGGTCTTGGGGGCGCCACGCATCTGAACCTCACGCCGGGCTGATTCCAGCACTGTAGCTGATGCTCCGTCCAGCGGGAGGTTGTGGTTTGGTCCAGGCGCCACCGAGCCTGATTGTCGCTCCTTCGATCACCAGCGTAGAAGCTAGTGACATTGGGCTCCAACTTCGCCTTCCTCTATCGTGTGTAGGGTCGGCCGGCACGTCTGGCTAGAATCGGCCTCCAGCTTCGCCACCCGCTTCTCGCACTTCTCGCAGAGTAGGGGTAGTAAGTCGGGCTCCGACTCCGCCTACAGAATTTTACAACTCGTCGGCTAGCTGATGGCATTGGGCTCGACCGTCGAGTGCCATGCCCAGGACATCGGGCTCCAACTTCGCCTCCCGCTTCTCGCAGTATGAGTAGGACGTTGGGCTCCATCTTTACCTCCAGCTTTCCAACTCTCGTCGGATGCAGCTGATGGCATCGGGCTCGACCTTCGACAGCCTTCGCACGTCGGGCTCTCGTCGCGTCGAGTGTAGCTGATGGCGTCGGGCTCGTCCTTCGCCTTCTTCCTGCGTCGCTCGTTGTCCCGCGTTGCCTCCCGCTTTTCGCACGCTGCTCGCACAGTGGTTCCAGGCGGATGGCGTCGGGCTCCAGCTTCGCCGTCCCACTTCTCGCACATTGCCCTCGATCCCAGCATTGTAGCTGAACGCGTCGGGCTCTACCTTCGCCTTCCGCTTCGGCGTCGGTGTTTGGGTCGGGCTCCGCGTCGGGCTCAACCTTCGCCTGTCGGGCCTCGTAGCTGATGACGTTGGGCTCGACCTTCGTCTTCCCTCTCGCTTGGTGCCGCGGCATCGCCTGCTGCCGCTGCTCGCCGAAGGAGGGGTTGGTGTGGCGGACTCCAGCTTCGCCTCCCGCTTCTCGCATTGAGGTTTCCTGCCGCTGCCCGCTTTTTGTGTGGCGTCTCCCGCACGAACTGGTGTCAACTCTGAAGCTGATGACGTTGGCCCGCACGTTCTCGCCTGGCACGGACGGCTCCCAGCACGGCTGATCGTGGCTCGCCCGCGCTTTTCTGCCTGGCGGGTGGAGGGGGAGGGGGACGAGCGGAGGAACGGGGAGGGGGCAACCCACCTTCTTGATGGCTCCCTGGCAGCTGGACCCGCGCTCGGTCGTGGGCTGCCAGGGCTGACTCGACGTTGCTCCCAGGGCCATGGCCACTCTCAAGTTGGGCCCATCGGAACACCCCGGCCCCCGCGCACGGGACCCTGGGTGGAAAATGGCTGAGCAGGAAGAGGAGGAGGAGGAGGAGGCGGGGGAGGAGGAGGAGGAGGAGGAGGAGGAGGAGGAGGAGGAGGAGGAGGAGGAGGAGTAGGAGAAGGAGGAGGAGGAGGAGGAGGAGGAGGGGGAGGAGAGGAGGAGGTGGAGGAGGAGGGGGAGGAGGAGGAGGAGGAGGAGAAGGAGGAGGATGTAAACCCAAGAGGCATCAACGATGTTGGAATAAACCCTCCCTCCAAGCTCCCTCTTCATAGTCCCCTACAACGGTTCAGTTCCATTGAGGAAACTGCATCGTTGGAAGACAACCGTTTGAAGATCCCGAAGCATGCCAAAACATTGTTCTCGGGATTTCGACGGCACGTATCGACCTGACTGCTGCGTGTTGACGATTCAAAACCGTGCCAGAGCGCCAATGTTTGGAATTCAACTCCGCGAATCAACAGTTGCACACGCATAATCCTGAATCCTTCAAACAAACAATGTCTGGTACGTTGGTCATGGGGAATCCGTGAAACTCTGGCAAACATTGAAATTTAATGTGCGCGGCGCTGAGGCGAGAACCACATGTTGAAAAGGAACCGCCCTCGATCCGTGAAACTCTCTTGCACATGTTTTAAACGAATGTGCGCGGCGCGAAGGCGAGAGCCACATTTTGAAAACGACCAGACTCAGCCCGTGAAACTCTTGCGAAATTTAAAAACGCATGTGCGCGGCGCCAAAGCGAGAACCACAATTTGAAAACGGCCCGCCTTCAATCCGTGCAACTCTTGCACATTTCGTTTAACGAATGTGCGCGGCGCTAGGGCGAGAGCCACATGTTGAAAAGGACCCGCCTCAACCCGTGAAACTCTTGCAATATTTGAAAACGCATGTGCGCGCCGCTAAAGCGAAAACCACAATTTGCAAACGGCCCGCCTTCAATCCGTGAAACACGTTCAAGTGTTTCTTTAACGAATGTGCGCGGCGCTCAAGAGATAACCACATTTTGAAAACGACCCGCCCTCAATCCGTGAAACTCTTGCATATGTTTGAAACGAATGTGCGCGACGCGAAACCGAGAGCCACATTTTGAAAACGACCCGCCCTCAATCTCTTGCAATTTTGTGAGACGAATGTGCGCGGCGCTTAGGCGAGAGCCACATGTTGAAAACAACCCGCCCTCCAACTGTGAAACTGCTGTCACTGTTAAGCTTCAGAGTCATAAATGGTGAGGAAGTCTCGGGCGAAACGCCCGGCCCGCCCTAAAAACTGGCCTCGGGGTGCGACAGGAACAAGTTATCTGTAATGAAAAGGATTGGAGGAGGAGGAATAGGAGGAGGAGGAGGAGGCGGAGGAGGAGCAGGAGGGGGCAGGCCTCCTCAGCAGGCGGCGGGGCTGCTCAGAGAGCCCTCGCGCCTCCCGAGAGCAGCCGCCCATGGCTCTGGAGGCGCGCGGGCCTCCTGAGACGCCCCCCGCCGCCCTCTGAGAGGGCCTGCCCCCTCCCAGTTCTGCAGGGGCCCGAGGACACACGAACCAAAACACACAAATCCCAGGAGCCCCATGCTTTCCCGCACTCCCTGGGTTCTCCTCTTCCCCCCCACTTCCCATACGTTCCCATACCTTCTGGGGGGTCGACGATGAATTGTGTCTATGCTTTTATTCCCTCCTGAACTTCCCCCCTCGGCTCGCCGCCCTCAGAGTAGAGGCCTTCCAGGTGGGGTCGGAGTAGATGGGGTCGGAGGATCGCGCCGCGTCGCCGATGCATGGGCGACGCACCGGCGACGCCGGCGATGCATCAAGGACGTCGGCGTGGAGAAAATCGAGCTCCACAACGAGCCGCATCGCCGATGCATCGGGGATGCGGCGCCATTTGCTGGGACCCCTTCCTGTGGAAAAGCCCAAAGGTACCGATACCACTACTCCCCGGACATTTCCTGGGATGCGTTCTGACCAGAATTTCGAGGCGAATCCAGCGGTGGCGACGAGGGCCTAGGCCCAGAAAATGGAAAACAAGGCAGGGGTAGCGGTATCGGAACCTCTCCCAGAGGTCCAAGAATCCACCCCCATAATAACACCACCCCACCCTGAAAAGGGAATCGAACAGGGCAGGGCTGCTTCGTCAAAACCCAGGGCCGCTTTTAGTAGACGCCAACTGCCGAGGCCTGCGTGGTTTTTCCTCCCTTGACCTTCCTCCTCCTCCTCCTCCTCCTCCTCCTCCTCCTCCTCCTCCTCCTCTTCCTCCTCCTCCTCCTCCTCCTCCTCCTCCTCTTCCTCCTCCTCCTCCTCCTCGTCCTCCGCCGAGCACCCCCAGCCTCCGGGGCGGGCGTGGTCGCGGCCGCGGTGGTCGTGACCGTGGTGCCCCCCGCAGGCGTCGGGCCGCCCGGGCTGGTCCCGTTGGCTCCTGGGGGGGCAGGGGCGCGGGCCCGGCCCGTGAGCGCCGCGTCGGTCGATCGGATCGGATCGAACTGCCCCGAGATCCGGGCGTCTCGACTCGCTCGAGCCGGGCGCGGTCGCCCAGCTTCGGGCCCCGGGACCCTCACAGGCCGATCCGGCTCGAACAATGGGGCAGCAAGATGGGGTCCGGGGCTCCCGTCGCGATGTCTCGCGGCGTCTCCATGTTTTCGAGGCGTCGGATCTCACGGTGTCCATCGGGCGGGGCCGCACCGATCGGCATCGGAGCGGCAAAGCCTGGAGACTCGATCCAGAAGGATCCTCGATCCCCGAGGCAAGCTCGGATGCTGCTTCAGCTGCCCGGAACTCCCGATGCGGGAGCGCGGGAGAAGTAAATCGATCCGCATCGCATCGGGAGATCCGGTCGAAACGAACGTGCATCGGATCGGGCCGCATCGGCACGGAGCCGACATCGGATCGGATGGGCTGTGCCAGGGTGCACAACAGCGCCAGACAAGCATCGGACAGTCGAAATCTCTAAATCGAGTCGTATCGGGCTGGCCAGAATCGACATCGAATCAGAACGATCAGTGAGAGGAAGCTTTCCTCTTTCGGCTGCACGCAATCGGGCGCGACCTAACCGACCCTTTCCGTAACGAGCCCACTCCCTGTCTTCCTTCGAGGCTCCCCTCCGCTAGGAGCGAGCCGAGGGAGTCGTCACGGAGGGGGTCGACCAGCTTAGGGGGCGGTCAGGGCGACTCTGACGCAAGAGCACGACCCTGGGCAAGGCTGACCTCTGGTGCGCGGCTTGCCGCCCGTCGCATGCGATGCAACAGTCCCAGACCCCCGACGTTATGATTTGTTCAGGACGTCGATCCCCAGAGTTCTCGACCCATTCCCCGGGACCGGCTTCTCATCCCGAGCCATGTTTTGACGGTCCCGAGGCCCAGCTAGGGTCTCCAGAGGCCGAACATTAGGAAAAACCTGGCGTCATGATTTGTTCATTGCCCGAAGGGATTTGGGGTCGCGCGCCTGGGGCTGCCCCCCCCCCCCGGAGCAGCGCGGCAGGCGCGAGAGAGCCCCACGCGGCGGGGCAGCAGAGAGGCACCCGCCGCCAGCTGAGGGGAGCGAGCAGGAGGCACGCTGGGGCCGTGGTCGACGACCCTGCCGGGGGCGGAGGAACGCAGGGAGGAGGAGGGGGGAGAAAGGGGAGCAGGGAGGAGGGGGAGGAGGAGGAGGAGGAGAGGAGGAGGAGGAGGAGGAGGAGGAGGAGGAGGAGGAGGAGGAGGAGGAGGAGGAGGAGCGCAAGCACCGGCGCTACCCAGGGCCCGCGCTCCTCGCCTTCGCGCTCGAGACGCTGGGCCGGCCCGGGAAGGAGGCGCAGGCCCTGCTGCGCACTTGGTCTGCTGGGGACCCACAAGTCCTCGCGGCCGCGCGGCAAAGCCTCTCTGCCGCGCTGCAGCGGGGCAACGCCGAAGCCTGGCGGACTGCCGTGCTGCCGCGGGGCGGCACGGCGCGGCGGACGCCTGCCACGGACCCCGGCGCGCCGCCAGCGCGGCGCGCGCGGCGCGCGTGAGCGCGCCTGCCCTTGCCCAGAGGATCCAATCCGACAATTTGGGTCTATCCCTACAATTTTGCGTCGCTTCAGTAATGTTTTATGTTTTCCCGAAATACATGTTAGTCGGCGCGATACTCCCGAATAGGATTTCCGGAATCCCGCTTTGTTTTTTCCGGAAACATGTGGCCCCTACACATATATATATGTGTATATATATGTGTGTATATATATATGTGTGTATGTATATATATGTATAAATATACATATAAATGCACGCATTTCTGTGAATATATAGATATATACATATATGTATATATGTATGTATGCATATATATATATATATATACACATATGTACACTATACGTATATTTATGTATATGTATGTACCGTCATATAATCATATGTGTGTGTGTATGTAGTGTGTAGGTGTATGTATGTAAATATTTGCATATATGCATATGCAAATACATATACATGCACGTGTATGTGTACTTGTAGCATACATACATACATGCACACAATTACACATACACACATACTTACATCCATACATACATACACATACACACATTTACATATACATATACATATATACATACATGCATACATACATACATACGTACATACATACATACATACAGGTGCATACATACAGGTGCATACATGTATGTATGTTCACTGACAACAGTTGTACACTTATGCATACATGCCTGCATACGCATACGTATATGTGTATACTTTTGTACATATGCAAATGTGTAAGCATCTGTACATATCATATAGACCATCGTAACCGACATGATCGCATATGTGCGCGTATGATATAGCATGCCGCAACGTGTTATAATTAGATGGGGGTCGGAATAATACGGGAGGAGGGGGGGGGGAGCGTCCTGACGGGAACAGCGGGTTCAAGTCTAGAATTGCTGACGCGCATCGTCGGGGAGGTCACGTATCCCGTCTGTTTCTCCTTCCCTTCTCCTCGTCCCGTCCCCATCACCCTTCCTGTTCCTTTCCAGCTTTCGTCAACTGGAGTGCGATCGTCGGAATACACATCATGGCCAGCATCGCCATCATCATCGTGCGTTCCTCCCGCCTCGTCTTTCCCATCTGCCTTTCCCGCCTCCTCTCATCCATCATCCCTATCATCCCTCCCATGCGTGTATGCCTTGTTTTCCTCATCATCTAGAGTAACGGGCTTCCAACTCACTGGCTCGAGATCGCGACACCAGGCTGATTAGACAACGGGAGATATTGCAAGGATGGGAGGGAGAAGACATATGAGTATAACTGGAAGGGGGTGGGAACGGAGAACCGAAGCGATGAGGATGTAGGTGGAGGTGGCGGAAGATGCGAGCGAGTGCACAACAGTTGGATGAACATGATATGGATGGCGATTGCGACCCATTGTCCATCAGACTTCAGCGAACGAGTACCTGTACTTATCCACAAGGGCCGTATGCAGCGTGTTAGGATGCAGCCCCTCAGCTATCGTAGCACACACGCCGATGCCAGACTCATCAGCGTATTCCCAATGATCCTGGTCGGAAGAAATACACGCATTTGGCCTACACCATGTCCAAGCATATGGTTCATGTGTCTGTCATTCGTGCGTCGTGCATGTGTGTGTGTGCGTGCGTGCGTGCGCGCGTGCGTGCGTGCGTGCGTGCGTGCGTGCGTGCGTGTGTCGTGGGGTCCCCTTCTTATGTTTGGGGGGAGATGGGGCACGCAAGTGGTCGAAGCATTCGTGTTCAATACTATGGCTGATGTTTCTGTCATGTGTGCGTCGTGCGTGTCGTTGGGTCCCCGTCATATATGTCGGGGTGGGGCGGGGGGCGCACCTGGCCGACGCAGTTTTCAGTCAGGTGGTTGGATGGTCTGTCATTTGCGCGTCGCTTGTGACGTTGGGTCCCGTTCAATGGTTTTTTTACGGGGGTGGGACGCGCAATTGGCCGACACAATTTTCAGTCATATGACAGATTTTTGTGTCACGTCGCGTGCGTTTGGGGGGGGGGGTCCCGTGGCTGGGGGATGAGGAGGAGGAGGGATGAGGTGAGACATCATGGCCCGTACGACACGTGCCCTACATTACCGCATTAGCTCACGGTGGTGATGTGCAGTTGAGGGCGCGTAGCGTAGGGCTTCAGGTGGTGGAGGCGGGGGATAGGGATGTGTTCGCCCGTGTGATCCGCTGGGTTGCCAGGGGATGCTTCCTCAACTATCTCCAGGAATATATGATGTTTTGGTTTCAACCTCCAGCACATGGTGTCCAGGGCCTCGTACCCCATGGCCCTGTAGAGCAAGAGGTGCCTGCGACCAAACTCTGACAGTCGCTGAGGGCTCACGTCGCAGTCCCAGGCTGCCATCTCCTCGTAGCAGCGCGAGAGAAACTCTATGCAATTCAACCTACAGGCAAGCGCAACTGAAACTCGAGATGCCAGCAGAACCAGCACGAGAGGGGGCTCGAACTAAATCAACAGCCTGCAATTGGGTGTGGGCATTCCTGCCCCGCTCCACCTGGTGCGTGCACGAACGGAGTCGCACTTCACAAGGTGCCGCAGCAGATGCACGAGCACTGGAACTAGGTACCGACTCTCGGCCGCTTTGGACTTAAGTTTGGGAGCTTTCGTGGTCTTATTCCTGAACATGGTGACCGTCAGCTTATTGAACGGAGGGTCGGTACCGATCGAATGAGCAGAAATCGCAATCAAGTTGAGCAACTTGGTCTCTGCCTGTGGCCCCATGTCCACCCTCGCCTGTTGACTGCACCCCCCCTCTCACCCTCACCATCTTCCGTCCCTCGTGATCGTGCTTGTCATAGTCATCCTCCTCTTTCTCCTCCTCCGCATTCTCCTCCTCCTCCTCCTCCTCATCGTTGCTATTGTTTGAACATGCCCGTTGCCTCCAACGGCGTTGCACGCTTCCCGCCGAGTTCGAGAAACAGTTCCCACAATATGTTTCCACACGCTTCTTGTGCAACCCCGAGGCAACCTGCATGCGTCATGCCTGGACGCAAGTAGTTCCAGGTAAACCCAGGAACCAGCATGGGGCTGAAATCCAAATCACCGTCCCCCTGTCGTGCAAGTTCCAAGTATCTCTTTGGGGTGTACAGGTCTCTGCGCCAACCAGCGAACAGATCAAAATTGGGAAGGTCGGCAACAGTGCACGGGCATCTAAAACAGATTTTGGCAGTACTCGGTCCACCCCGCCACCCCTGCACTCCGAACACTTGCTTGTACCAAGCCCAGTCCCCCCTGAAGTCGATCAATACACCCCTCACCTTCATGGCTTGCCCAGCTCTGGCCGAGCGGAGCTTGTCGCCGCGAAATGGCGACCTGGAAAAGGGGATCTGGTCGTGGCGCACGCTAGGCCATTTCCCAGTAAGCCAATAGCTGCACATCCACCCAAGCACCGCCCACACCTCGGGGTGCGTGCGGCGGGGATCGGATGT